CCCTCTCCAGGGTCAGGCGGGAGCGCCCTCGGGACCCAGACCATGTCCGTCAAGGCGCTCCCCTCTCTCTCCTTGCCCTCCTCCTTGGCCACGTCCTCGTTCGCCAACCTCGCACCCAGCGACGCGTGGCCCGCCTCCTCGCGCATCGGCTGCTCGGTGGACGGGCCCCCAAGCGGCCCAAGCTCCTCCAGCAGCCCGTCGAAGAAGACGTCGAGGTCGTCGAGCTCCGTGTCCAAGGCCGCGCCCGCCGTGTGGCGAGAGCTAGCCGTCGTGCTCTCCTGCCCAGCCGAGCTACCTCCCCCGCCGCGTACGGTTGCGGGGTTGCTCTCGCGAGGGCTCGCCGTCACCTCCGCCTCCTGGCGCTCCTCCTTGGCGGCCTCCTCCTCCACGACCTTCGCCTCCAACCCCGAGGAGTGCTCCCAGTCGCACTCGCCCACGTCGGAGGACAGGCCGCTGCTGAGTGGCGCCGCCGTCGCAGCGACCGAGCCCTCGCCCTCGGCGTGCTCCGCCGCGTGCGCCTGCCACTCCTTGATGAGGCGCAGCAGGTCCTCCACCTTGTCCCCCTCCTCGTCGTTCGGGTGCCTGAGCAGCGCGCTGACCGCGTCTAGCTCCCTGCACCGCCGCACGACCACTGGAGGAAGACGGCTCCCGCGCTGGCGGGCCGGCTGGAGGCCAGCCGCGAGCGTGCGCCCACCCACAAGCGCCACCATCTCGGCCGCGGCGCCCAGTAGCTGCTGCGCTCGCGCTCCGAGCGCAGAGCGCACCACAGAGAACTGCCCCTGCGCCACGGCCTCGGTCGGCGCCTGCTGCTCCTGCGTGGCCGCTCCGCTCGTCGCAGCCTGCAGGCGCGCCATGAGCTCGGCGGCTTCCCCCAGCGTCCCGACGGTCGTGAGGGAGGCACCGTGGCGGACCGTGTAGACACGCCCGCCACTACTGCGCCCGCCGCCACCGCGCACCATGAGGGCGCAGCCGCGGACGCGCGGCCCCCGCCGCGCGCGCACCCGTCCGAGGGCCGACCCGCGCGGGACGGCACGCCTCTTGAGCCAAAATGGCTACGGAAGAGGACGCCAGCAGGCCCAAACAGGCCCCCAAGAGGCCCCAAGGGGCCGCCAAGAATCCCCCGAAGAGGCCCCAGGAGGCTCCCAGGGAGCCCAAACGAGGCCCCAACAGAGGCCCCAACAGCCTCCAAAATGGCCCCAAAGAGGCCTCGAGCCCGCCTCCGAGCTTCCTCGCCGCGAGGGTGCCAACACGGCCCCAGACGGGCCCAGGACGGCCCAAGGCGCGTTCAAGACGGCCCAAGACGATTCCAAGACGGTCCCAGGAGGGTGCGCCCAGGACGGCCCAAGGACGCGCCCGGTCGGGGCCTCAAGCTGGGCCAAGATTGCAAGAGAGCCCCAGCTGGCAAAAATCGTTAATTGTCCATTGTTTATTGTTACATCCTTTGCGTTTCCTGCCATTTCGGCGGTCCGATGCACCAAGAGGCCCCAGAAAGTCGCAGGGAGGTCCGAGGAAACGCCCAGGAAGGCCCCAAGACGGGCCAAGACGCACAACCCAAGGCGCGCTGCGACGGCTCCAAGACAGCCCTAAGAGGGTGCCAACACGGCCCCTGCTGGGCCCAGGACGGCCCAAGGAGGCGCACAGGAGGGGCCCAAGACGACTCCAAGGCGGCCCCCTCACGGTCCCAGACGGCTCCAAGACAGCCCCACGATAGTGCCAACAAGGACCCCGATGGGCCCAGGACGGCATACGGACGCGCCCATGAGGGGCCCACGACGAACCAAGACGGCCTCATCACGGCAAACGGCGCCCTCAAGACGGGCCTAGACGGCTCCAAGACGGCCCTTTGAGGGAGCCAACGCGGCCCCATACCCTTCGGGCGAACACTTGGGGGGGCTGGGAGCTTGCGACAAGTCTCCCACATTTATTGTCCTGCCCCATTCTGTTCGCCTGGAGGCCTCCTCCAACCCTGTGGGCGAACAAGAGGAAACCCAGCGGGCCGCCAACCCTGGGGCCCGTGGGCCCCGCGCCGCTTGGGCAGAAGACGAACGCCGGGTCTACCGCCCCCCTTTGCCGATATGCTGTGCCCAGGGGCCTTGGCACACTCTTCGGGCCAACCAGACCGGACCCCTGGGACAGCAGCCAATTGATATGACCCAGGGACCTCTCCGCATTCTTCGGACGAGCACATGGGGGGCCCAGGAGATTCGGACAAGTCTTCCCCATTCCTTGCCCTGTCCCGTTCTGTTCGCCCGAAGGCCTCCACAGACCCTCTGGGCGAACAGAATGGGACATGGCGAACAAACCCTCCCGTTGGCGGTGATGCGACTGGATCGCACCATCAAGGCGTGCCCGGAGGTGATGGCCGACCCAACAGCGGTTGCTTTAAAGATTTTACAGAATTTCAAATTTTCTTGAAGCTCTCTTGGGCCCTCCCTGTAGATCCTTGCGAGCCTCCCCGGCGCTTTCGGTGGCTTTCCCCGATGGCCTCCCGAGCCCTTCCCGGGCGCTCCTGAGACGCCTCAGATGGGCTTCGACTTCGACGCACATCCCCGAGAGACTTCGAAACTGCCCTCACTAGGAGGGGGGGAACGAGCAGTGCGCTGGGCCAAGCTGCTGGAGCGCTGCAAGTGCTCGGACACGAAGGCGCGGTCTCGCTGCCGCCGCCCGAGCCGCCGCCGTGTTTGTAGATTTTCGGTACAATCTGCGCCGTTCCTCCGAGAACCATTCCAGAAAGATGTCGTGGACGGAGTCCACGGGTCAGCCCTAGTCTCTACTACAATGCAGCGTTCACCGCTAGCCAAATGGTTAAGCAGTGGCCGCGGGCCGGCCCCTGCGGAGCCCTCCCCGGGCGCCCAAGCAAGCTCTGGTCGACTCCAGCGCGGCTCCGAGGCTGCCCCAGGCCGCTCCGAGACGCTCCGAGATGCCTCCCCGGAGGCGCCCTGGCAGCTCAGCAGCCTCCCCCTCGCGCCCACGATGGCCCAAGACACTCCAACACGCGCCAGCAGGAGCGTCTGAGGAGGGGAAAAAGAAGCATTTCCTCTGGAAAACGAGCCACTTTCAAGTTCCTGCTGACGAGGTTCCCTGTCAGCTCCCGGTGCGTGGTTCTCCCCGCGCCCTCGCGTTCTTTTCGGTTGCTTCGGGCCCCCTGTCCGGCCCTTCTGGCGCCTCGGGGCCCTCTTCCGGCCCTCCGCGGCCTCCTCCGGGCTCTCTTGGGATTTCTTCGGGCGCTCCGAGATGCTTCCGGAGGCGCCCTGCAAGCTCAGCAGCCTCCCCCGCGCACCCAAAATGGCCCCAGAGCGGTCTAACACGCGCCGGCAGGAGCGCCTGAGGAGGGAAAAAAACACATTTTCTTTGGAAAACCAGCCACTTCGACGTTCCTGCTGACGAGGTTCCCTGCGAGCTCCCGGTGCGTGCTTTTCCCCGCGCCCTCGCGTTCTTTGCGGCCCCACCAGGGGCTGGGTAATGTTCGTTTTGAGTGCCCCTCAAAACGAACACCTGGAAGCTCTTCTTGGTTCCGTCCTGGCGCCCTCGAGGCCTCTCCCGAGACGGCCTTGAAACCGCGAGGAGCTTCCCAAAGGATCCCAGCAACATCTCAGGAACTCTGAAGAGAGCCCCGAGAGACGCCTAGGAAGACCCCGCGAGAGGCCGCGCTCTGTTCGTTTTGAGCGCCCCTCAAAACGAACACCACGAAGCTCGTTTTAGTTCCGTCCTGACGCCCTCGAGGCCCCTCCCGAGACGGCCTTGAAACCGCGAGGAGCTTCCCAAAGGATCCCAGCAACATCTCAGGAACTTTGAAGAGAGCCCCGAGAGACGCCTAGGAAGACCCCGCGAGAGGCCGCGCTCTGTTCGTTTTGAGCGCCCCTAAACACGAATACCACGAAGCTCTTTGTGGTTCCGTCCTGGCGCCCTCGAGGCCCCTACCGAAACGGCCTTGAAGCCGCGAGGAGCCCCCCAAAGGAGCCCAAGAAGATCTCAGGAACTTCGAAGAGAGCCCCGACAGAGGCGTAGGAAGGCCCCGCGAGAGGCCGCGCTCTGTTCGTTTTGAGCGCCCCTCAAAACGAACACCACGAAGCTCGTTTTGGTTCCGTCCTGGCGCCCTCGAGGCCCCTACCAAGACGGCCTTCAAGCCGGGAGGACCTTCCCAAAGGAGCCCAAGAAGATCTCAGACGCTTCGAAGAGAGCCCCGAGAGACGCCTGGGAAGGCCCCACCAGGGGCTGGGCACTGTTCGTTTTGAGCGCCCCTCAAAACGAACACCTGGAAGCTATGTTTTGTTCCGTCCTGGCGCCCTCGAGGCCCCTCCCGAGACGGCCTTGAAACCGCGAGGAGCCTCCCAAAGGAGCCCACGAAGATCTCAGGAACTTCGACGAGAGCCCCGACAGAGGCATAGGAAGACCCAGCGAGAGGCCGCGCTCTGTTCATTTTGAGCGCCCCTCAAAACGAACACCACGAAGCTCTTTGTGGTTCCGTCCTGGCGCCCTCGAGGCCCCTACCGAAACGGCCTTGAAGCCGCGAGGAGCTTCCCAAAGGAGCCCAAGAAGATCTCAGGAACTTCGAAGAGAGCCCCGAGAGAGGCCTAGGAAGACCCCGCGAGAGGCCACGCACTCTTCTTTTTGAGCGCCCCTCACAACGAACATCACGAAGCTCGTTTTGGTTCCGTCCTGGCGCCCTCGAGGCCCCTACCAAGACGGCCTTCAAGCCCGGATGACCTTCCCAAAGGAGCCCAAGAAGATCTCAGACGCTTCGAAGAGAGCCCCGAGAGACGCCTGGGAAGGCCCCACCAGGGGCTGGGCACTGTTCGTTTTGAGCGCCCCTCAAAACGTTGTTACGTCCTGGCGCCCTCGAGGCCCCTCCCGAGACGGCCTTCCAACCGCGAGGAGCTTCCCAAAGGAATCCAATAACATCTCAGGAACTTCGAAGAGAATTCCGACACGGCTTCCGAACTAAAAGTGTCACAACACCATTCCAACGCTTACCTCCAGGACGGAGTTCGCGGATCCAGCCGACACCGTGGACGGCCTGGCGCACAGAATTTCCGGACGTCGTCGCCGTCGGCCGCCTCTGCGACAGGCGAACACCACGCCATTAATCCTGATCGCTTTGCGGCAGCACCCCTTCACCCCGCAAGTGGACGTAGTCCACGGGTCAGCCCTAGTCATCTATACTATATGGCCGGAGGAACCGCGTGCCGGACGGAAAAAAACGTCAAATGGCCGGAAACAGCTCCGAGACGCTCCGGAGGCCGCCCCGACGGCCCAAAGACGGCTCCGAGCCGCTCAAAGACGGCTCCGACCCGCTCAAGATGCCCCGAAGGCGGCCCAAGAGGGCCCCGAGACGCGCAATGATCCAGCCAAGACGCCCGAGATTGGCCCAAGACGGCCCAAGAGCTCCCCAAGACGGCCCCACAGGCCTCCCAAGAGGCCTCCCAAGAGAGTCCCGAGAGGCCCGAGGTTTTTTGCTTCCTCGCTTTTTCAGCTTCCCGACGCTCCGAAACTCCCCCAGAGGCACCCAAGACGGCCCAAAGACGGCTCCGAGCCGCTCAAAGACGGTTCCGACCCGCTCAAGATGCCCCGAAGGCGGCCCAAGAGGGCCCCGAGACGCGCAATGATCCAGCCAAGACGCCCGAGATTGGCCCAAGACGGCCCAAGAGCTCCCCAAGACGGCCCAACAGGCCTCCCAAGAGGCCTCCCAAGAGAGCCCCGAGAGGCCAAAATCGTTGATTTCATTGTTTTGTTTCCGAGGTTTTTTGCTTCCTCGCTTTTTCAGCTTCCCGACGCTCCGAAACCCCCCCAGAGGCACCCAAGACCGCTCCAAGACGGTCCACGAGGTCCCCAAGAGGACCCCAAGACGGCCCAAGAGGGCCCCAAGACGGTCCAAGGCGGCCCCAGGACGGCCCCAGAGGCGCCCAAGACAGGCCAACGGGACCCCAAGATGGCCCGAAGAGCGGCCCAAGATGGCTCCAAGACGGCCCGAGGACCGCCCAAGAAGGCCCTCGGGGGCCCCAAGACAGCCCAAGGGGCGCGATAGACGAGCCCAGAGAGGCCCGAGAGGCCCCCAGGAGCCCAAAAGAGGTCCCCAAGAGGTGCTACGACGGGGCTTCAAAACTGCTTCGAAGCGAGGGGGGCGGACGAGGGGACCGCCTCAGGAGGTTTTGGACGGTTTTGGGCCTCAAAATCATCCGCTTCACGACGGTTTTGGAAGGATTTTGGCCTTCTCGCCTTTTCCGCTTGCCGACGCTCGAAGACGGCCCAAGAGGCCTCCAAGAGCGCCCCAGAACGGCCCAAGAGGTTTCCAAGAGCGCCCCAAGACAGCCCAAGAGGGCCCCAAGACGACCCAAGAGACGCTCAAGACGGCCCACGAGGGCCCGAAGACAGGCCCAAGAGGGGGCCAAGAGGGGGACCACGGACCGAAAATCCGAGCCTTCCGCCCCAAGAGGGCGCCAGGAGGCCCAAACAGGCCCCCAAGAGGCCCCAAGGGGCCGCCAAGAATCCCCCGAAGAGGCCCCAGGAGGCTCCCAAGGAGCCCAAACGAGGCCCCTACAGAGGCCCCAGAGGCCCCAACAGCTTCCAAAATGGCCCCAAAGAGGCCTCGAGCCCGCCTCCGAGCTTCCTCGCCGCGAGGGTGCCAACACGGCCCCAGACGGGCCCAGGACGGCCCAAGGCGCGCTCAAGACGGCCCAAGACGATTCCAAGACGGTCCCAGGAGGGTGCGCCCAGGACGGCCCAAGGACGCGCCCGGTCGGGGCCTCAAGACGGGCCAAGATGGCAAGAGAGCCCCAGCTGGCAAAAATCGTTAATTTTCCATTGTTTACTGTTACACCCTTTGCGTTTCCCGCCGTTTCGGCGGTCCGATGCACCAAGAGGCCCCAGAAAGTCCCAGGAGGGTCCGAGGAAACGCCCAGGAAGGCCCCAAGACGGGCCAAGACGGACCCAGCACAACCCAAGGCGCGCTGCGACGGCTCAAGACGGCTCCAAGACAGCCCCAAGAGGGTGCCAACACGGCCCCTGCTGGGCCCAGGACGGCCCAAGGAGGCGCACAGGAGGGGCCCAAGACGACTCCAAGGCGGCCCCCTCACGGTCCCAGACGGCTCCAAGACAGCCCCACGAGGACCCCGATGGGCCCAGGACGGCCTACGGACGCGCCCATGAGGGGCCCACGACGAACCAAGACGGCCCCATCACGGCAAACGGCGCCCTCAAGACGGGCCTGGACGGCTCCAAGACGGCCCTTTGAGGGAGCCAACGCGGCCCCACACCCTTCGGGCGCACACTTGGGGGGGCTGGGAGCTTGCGACAAGTCTCCCACATTCATTGTCCTGCCCCATTCTGTTCGCCTGGAGGCCTCCTCCAACCCTGTGGGCGAACAAGAGGAAACCCAGCGGGCCGCCAACCCTGGGGCCCGTGGGCCCCGCGCCGCTTGGGCAGAAGACGAACGCCGGGTCTGACAGGCCAGCTACAGCCCCCCTTTGCCCGATATGCTGTGCCATTATGTTCCCCCAGGGGCCTTGGCAAACTCTTCGGGCCAAGCAGACCGGACCCCTGGGACAGCAGCCAATTGATATGACCCTGGGACCTCTCCGCATTCTTCGGACGAGCACCTGGGGGGCCCAGGAGATTCGGACAAGTCTTCCCCATTCCTTGCCCTGTCCCGTTCTGTTCGCCCGAAGGCCTCCACAGACCCTCTGGGCGAACAGAATGGGACATGGCGAACAAACCCTCCCGTTGGCGGTGATGCGACTGGATCGCACCATCAAGGCGCGCCCGGAGGTGATGGCCGACCCAACAGCGGTTTCTCTAAAGATTTTACAGAATTTCGAATTTTCTTGAAGCTCTCTTGGGCCCTCCCTGTAGATCCTTGCGAGCCTCCCCGGCGCTTTCGGTGGCTTTCCCCGATGGCCTCCCGAGCCCTTCCCCGAGCGCTCCTGAGACGCCTCAGATGGGGTTCGACTTCGACGCACATCCCCGAGAGACTTCGAAACTGTCCTCAATAGGAGGGGGGGGAACAAGCAGTACGCTGGGCCAAGCTGCTGGAGCGCTGCAAGAGCTCGGACACGAAGGCGCGTTCTCACTGACGCCGCCCGAGCCGCCGCCGTGTTTGCAGATTTTCGGTACAGTCTGCGCCGTTCCTCCGAGAACCATTCCAGAAAGATGTCGTGGACGGAGTCCACGGGTCAGCCCTAGTCTATACTATATGGCCGGAGGAACCGCGTGCCGGAAGGAAATCCAGCCAAATGACTAGAAATGGCTCCGAGACGCTCCAGAGGCCGCCCCGACGGCCCAAAGACGGCTCCGAGCCGCTCAAGATGCCCCGAAGGCGGCCCACGAGGGCCCCGAGACGCGCAATGATCTGGCCAAGACGCCCAAAATTCGCCCAAGACGGCCCAAGAGCTCCCCAAGACGGCCCAATAGGCCTCCCAAGAGGCATCCCAGGAGAGGCCCGAGAGGCCAAAATCGTTGATTTTCATTGGTTTTCCCGAGGTTTTTTGCTTCCTCGCTTGTTCGGCTTCCCGACGCTCCGAAACCCTCCCAGAGGCATCCAAGACCGCTCCAAGACGGTCGAAGAGGTCCCCAAGAGGACCCCAAGACGGTCCAAGAGAGCTGCAAGACGGTCCAAGGCGGCCCCAGGACGGCCCCAGAGACGACCAAGACAGGCCACCGGGACCCCAAGATGGCCCGAAGAGCGGCCCAAGATGGCTCCAAGACGGCCCGAGGACCGCCCAAGAAGGCCCTAGGGGCCCCCAAGACAGCCCAAGGGGCGCAATAGACGGGCCCAGAGAGGCCCAAGAGGCCCCCAGGAGCCCAAAAGAGGTCCCCAAGAGGTGCCACGGGGCTTCAAAACTGCTTCGAAGCGAGAGGGGCGGACGAGGGGACCGCCTCATGAGGTTTTGGACGGTTTTGGGCCTCAAAATCATCTGCTTTACGACTGTTTTGGAAGGAGGTTCCCAAGAGGACCCCAAGACGGTCCAAGAGAGCTCCAAGACGGTCCAAGGTGGCCCCAGGACGGCCCCAGAGGCGCCCAAGACAGGCCAACGGGACCCCAAGATGGCCCGAAGAGCGGCCCAAGATGGCTCCAAGACGTCCCGAGGACCGCCCAAGAAGGCCCTAGGGGGCCCCAAGACAGCCCAAGGGGCGCGATAGACGGGCCCAGAGAGGCCCAAGAGGCCCCCAGGAGCCCAAAAGAGATCCCCAAGAGGTGCCACGGGGCTTAAAAACTGCTTCGAAGCGAGGGGGGCGGACGAGGGGACCGCCTCAGGAGGTTTTGGACGGTTTTGGGCCTCAAAATCGTCCGCTTTACGACGGTTTTGGAAGGATTTTGGCCTTCTCGCCTTTTCCGCTTTCCGACGCTCGAAGACGGCCCAAGAGGCCTCCAAGAGCGCCCCAGAACGGCCCAAGAGGTTTCCAAGAGCGCCCCAAGACAGCCCAAGAGGGCCCCAAGACGACCCAAGAGACGCTCAAGACGGCCCACGAGGGCCCGAAGACAGGCCCAAGAGGGGGCCAAGAGGGGGACCACGGACCGAAAATCCGAGCCTTCCGCCCCAAGAGGGCGCCAGGAGGCCCAAACAGGCCCCCAAGAGGCCCCAAGGGGCCGCCAAGAATCCCCCGAAGAGGCCCCAGGAGGCTCCCAAGGAGCCCAAACGAGGCCCCTACAGAGGCCCCAACAGCTTCCAAAATGGCCCCGAAGAGGCCTCGAGCCCGCCTCCGAGCTTCCTCGCCGCGAGGGTGCCAACACGGCCCCAGACCGGCCCAGGACGGCCCAAGGCGCGCTCAAGACGGCCCAAGACGATTCCAAGACGGTCCCAGGAGGGTGCGCCCAGGACGGCCCAAGGACGCGCCCGTTCGGGGCCTCAAGACGGGCCAAGATGGCAAGAGAGTCCCAGCTGGCAAAAATCGTTAATTTTCCATTGTTTACTGTTACACCCTTTGCGTTTCCCGCCGTTTCGGCGGTCCGATGCACCAAGAGGCCCCAGAAAGTCCCAGGAGGGTCCGAGGAACCGCCCAGGAAGGCCCCAAGACGGGCCAAGACGGACCCAGCACAACCCAAGGCGCGCTGCGACGGCTCAAGACGGCTCCAAGACAGCCCCAAGAGGGTGCCAACACGGCCCCTGCTGGGCCCAGGACGGCCCAAGGAGGCGCACAGGAGGGGCCCAAGACGACTCCAAGGCGGCCCCCTCACGGTCCCAGACGGCTCCAAGACAGCCCCACGAGGACCCCGATGGGCCCAGGACGGCCTACGGACGCGCCCATGAGGGGCCCACGACGAACCAAGACGGCCCCATCAGGGCAAACGGCGCCCTCAAGACGGGCCTAGACGGCTCCAAGACGGCCCTTTGAGGGAGCCAACGCGGCCCCACACCCTTCGGGCACACACTTGGGGGGGCTGGGAGCTTGCGACAAGTCTCCCACATTCATTGTCCTGCCCCATTCTGTTCGCCTGGAGGCCTCCTCCAACCCTGTGGGCGAACAAGAGGAATCCCAGCGGGACGCCAACCCTGGGGCCCGTGGGCCCCGCGCCGCTTGGGCAGAAGACGAACGCCGGGTCTGACAGGCCAGCTACCGCCCCCCTTTGCCCGATATGCTGTGCCATTCTGTTCCCCCAGGGGCCTTGGCAAACTCTTCGGGCCAAGCAGACCGGACCCCTGGGACAGCAGCCAATTGATATGACCCTGGGACCTCTCCGCATTCTTCGGACGAGCATCTGGGGGGCCCAGGAGATTCGGACAAGTCTTCCCCATTCCTTGCCCTGTCCCGTTCTGTTCGCCCGAAGGCCTCCACAGACCCTCTGGGCGAACAGAATGGGACATGGCGAACAAACCCTCCTGTTGGCGGTGATGCGACTGGATCGCACCATCAAGGCGCGCCCGGAGGTGATGGCCGACCCAACAGCGGTTTCTCTAAAGATTTGACAGAATTTCAAAATTTTCTTGAAGCTCTCTTGGGCCCTCCCTGTAGATCCTTGCGAGCCTCCCCGGCGCTTTCGGTGGCTTTCCCCGATGGCCTCCCGAGCCCTTCCCCGAGCGCTCCTGAGACGCCTCAGATGGGCTTCGACTTCGACGCACATCCCCGAGAGACTTCGAAACTGTCCTCAATAGGAGGGGGGTGAACGAGCAGTGCGCTGGGCCAAGCTGCTGCAGCGCTGCAAGAGCTCGGACACGAAGGCGCGGTCTCGCTGCCGCCGCCCGAGCCGCCGCCGTGTTTGTAGATTTTCGGTACAATCTGCGCCGTTCCTCCGAGAACCATTCCAGAAAGATGTCGTGGACGGAGTCCACGGGTCAGCCCTAGTCTCTACTACATTGCAGGGCCCAGTGCGTGCCAGAATGGCGCAGGCCCCAATGCACCAAAACCGCCCCGGGCTGGCCCCGGGCCGCCCCGGGCCGCCCAGGCAGGCTCCAGGACATGTCGAGAGGGCCCCCAGAAGCCCCCAAGACGGCCCCGGAGAGCCCCGGCACGCTTAAAGATGGGCCCAAGACGCCCGAGATTCGCCCCAGGCGGCCCAAGAGGCGTCCAAGACGCCCGAAGAGGCCTCCCAAGAGGCCTCCCAAGAGGGCCCCGAGCGACAGAAATCGTAGATTTCTACTGTGTTTTTCTATGTTTTCGGCCTCCTCGCCTCTTCGGCTTCCCGACGCTCCAAGACGGCCCAAGAAGTCCCCCCGACCGCTCCAAGACGGCCGAAGAGGACCCCAAGAGAGCCCCAAGACGGGCCAGGAGGGCCCCAAGACGGTCCCAAGACGCCCCAGGACGGCCCCAGGACGGCCCAGGAGGCGCCCAAGACGGCCCAAGAGGCACCCAAGACGGCCCCAGGAGCGGCCGAAGACGGCCCAAGACAGCCCAAGAGGCGCCGAGGCGGGCCTCAGACGGCCCCAAGACGGCCCAAGAGGCACCCAAGACGGCCCGAGAGGGCCCTAAGAGCCCCCCCGGGAGGCCCAAAAGAAGGCCCAGGAGGCGCTGCACTGCGAGATGTGGAAAGCCAAGCTGGAGCCCGACGCCATCATGATTGCCTTTCGGCCCTGCAGCCGCACCCCCCCGCGCTTGCCCAGAGACCCCTCGCCACGTCGAGCTGATGTCGTGGACGGAGTCCACAGGTCTGCCCTAGTCAGCTACAACGCTGGGATCAGCGCGTGCGAGAAGGGCAAGCAGTGGCAGCCTGCGCTGGCGCTGCTGAGCGAGATGCGGGAAGTGAAGCTGGAGCCCGACGTCATCTCTACTACATGGCCGGTGGCAGCGCGCGCGAGAAGCCCAGGGCCTCAAGTGCACAAAGTCGCCCCTCTACGGCGCCACCACGGGGCCGAATCGCTCAGGTTGGTCCTAGAGGCGCTCCAGAGGGGTTCCCAGACCGTCCAAGAGCGTTCCAGGACGGCCTCAGTGGGTCCCGAGACGGCCCACGAGGGCCCGAAGCCTTCCGGGGGGGGCTCCACGACGATCCAAGAGGCTGCAAAGACGCCCAAAGAGGGCCCTGAGCGCAAGCCAAAGAGGCAGGCACACATCGTCAAATTCCGATCGGAACGTGTATTTTCAGCATGCCCTCCTTGTGCGCTCCTCAGCGGCCCAGGACACGCCAAGAGGCCTCCCAAATCGCTCCAAGAAGACGCCAGCGGCCCCTAAAAGGGCTCCAAGATGACCCACAAGAGCCCCAAACAACGCCAGAGAGCCCTAAAACGGCCTCACAGAACCCCAAGCCGGCCCCAAGAGAGCTCCGAGGGAGCCCCAAGAGGCTCCCAAGACGGCCTCAGGCAGCCTCAAGAGAGCTCCAAGACGGCCCAAGGCCTCCTGGACGCCCCGTGACAGCCCAAAATGGCGACGTCCCAAAACGCTGCCAGAGCAGCCCAAAAAAACTTCAGAATGGCCCGAAAAAGACCCCCACAAGGACCACCAAGCAGAGAGATGCCCATTAAAAGAGCGATCGGTGAAGTACAAAGCTCTTCTCACCAAGGCTCCCAAGAGCGAGCCGCAGCGTAGAGAGCTCTCCCAGGCACAGCTCCCAAGAGCGAGCGGTGACGTGACCAGCCCCTCACACAGGGGCTCTCAAAAGCGAAGGGCGCCATGAACCATCTCGGGCCGATAACTGAATCGCCCCTTTCGTCTCCGTGCCCGCGCAGGTCTGGCATCTTGGTATGGACGTCATCCTCAGGCCAGGTCTTCCCCCTCTGAAGGCGCGACATCGACCCACCCCGGCTCATGAAGGAGGAGGAAGCGAAGGAGGAACAGCGGAGGAGGAGGCAGAAGAGCACGAGGAGCTGCGGGAGGACGACGAGGAACTCCAGGATGGGGAGGAACGCGAGGAGGAGCAAGACCAGGACAAGGAGCCCCTTCCGCCTCCTCGGGCCCGGCGAGAGGAAAGGCGTGCAGGGAGCGTAGGTCCGGCCGTCGTGTTCGGTGCCGACGGCGCGCTGAAGAACAGCGTCTCCGGCCTGGAGGCCCTCTGACCGCGCACCCGCTCACGGTGCGCAGTCCCTCTGACCGCGTCTCCGGCCTGGAGGCCCTCTGACCTCGCTGGTCCTACCAAGCAGCATGCAGTTCCCCCACCTTCTGCTCATGTTCATCAGCCTGCAGCTCGGCATCGAGCACTCGGGGGACGAGCAGCACGCGTTGACCAGCACAACGGCGTCGTGCAGCACGAGGTCCAACATAACGCGGTCGAGCAGCACTTCGCCGACGAGCACTACCGGAACATGCGGCACGACGCCGTGCACCAGGACACCAGCAGCATGCCGGTGTCGTGCACAACGGAGTCGGGCACAACGGGGTCTAGCACTACAGAGTCGGGCAACATGTCGCTGGCCAGCACCATCGTGACAAGCAGCACGGCAACGAACACCAGCGAGTCGTGCAGCACAACGCTGTCGAGCACAGCTGGGTGCAGCACCACGGGATCCACCCCACGGAGTCGAGTAGCACGTCGCTGACCAGCACCACCGTGACAAGCAGCATGGCAACGGGGACCAGCGGGACTAGCAGCACGTCGGCGACGTGCACCACGGTTGGGAACACCCAGTCGCCTCGGTTTCCAATAGCCTCTGCGACGGTCAGTCGCTTCCACGGGTGTGGGGCAGGGTGACGACAGAGAGTACCTTGCTGACCGTCCAACACAACCCGCTGTTCTACCATTATCCTCCTGCGACGGTTCGTCGCCTTCACCGGGAAGATTGCGAAATGAGTCGCCTCCACCGGGAAGAGCGCGAAGATAGTCGCGAATCGCAGGAGGAGGTGCAGGAAGAAGTCTGGGAGGACCTTGCCAACCGTCCCACACAACCCACTGGCAACACGTCCTCTTGGCACACCCAACCGCCTCGGCTTCCAACGGGCTCTGCGACGGTCAGTCGCCGCCACCGGGAAGAACGCGATGATAGTCGCGAGTCACAGGGTGAGGGGCAAGGAGAAGACAGAGAGAACTTTGCCGATCGTCCAACTCAACCCGCTGGCAACACGACCCCTGGGAACACCCAGCCGCCTCGGATTCCAACAGATTCTGCGGTGGTCGTTCACCTACACCGGGAAGATTGCGAAATGGGTCGCGAACCACAGGAGAAGGGGCAGGGAGAAGACAGAGAGGACCTTGCCGACCGTCCAACACAACCCACTGGCAACACGACCTCTGGGAACACCCAACCACCTCGGTCTCCAATAGCCTCTGCGGCGGTCAGTCGCTTCCACCGGGGGGAGTATGATGATAGTCGCGAGTCGCAGGGTGAGGGGCAGGGAGAAGACAGAGAGAACCTTGCTGACCGTCCAACACAACCCACTGGCAACACGACCCCTGGGAACACCCAGCCGCCTCGGATTCCAAGGGATTCCGCGACGGCTAGTCACCTACACCGGGAAGATTGCGAAATGGGTCGCTCAAGTATTACACCGGGACTGGGTGGTGCGGTGCCTACTGGCTGCTTTAGGCCGGCGCCGCGCGGTCCGAGCAAAAAGAACTGCACTGACATTGGTAGCGGAGCTTGTAAGCTCCAGCGGACGCACTGCGTGCTCTGCTCGGGCGGCTGCGACCACCCGCGCGCGCCGCCATGGCCGGCAGCCAGGACGGCTCGGACGCGGAGGCGGGGTCCTCCGCCGGCGCAGTTTCTCCGGACCTGGACGCGGTCCTGCGCGCGATGGCCGAGACCCAGAGGGAGATCCTGGCCATGCAGCGGGATCGCGGCGGCGACAGCGGTCCCAGGCGTGCACGCCTACTGCTGTCACAGGTGAAGCTCCCGGACTTCGACGGCGCCGTCGGCACTAGCACCAAGAAGTACCGGGAGTGGCGCAAGGCTGTGGAGGTCATCCGCAATCTCAACCAGCTCTCCGACGTGGAGCTGGGCCTGATCATCTACAGTCAGGTGACAGGTCGGGCCAAGGAGCTCATCGAGGTACTTGACGCGTCGGACCTCCGACGCGAGGACACGCTCGAGACCATCTTTGCTATCTACGATGACGCCTTCGAGAAGATGGACCACGAGCGCCTGGATCAGGTGCATCAGGAGTGGGAGCGTGCTCACCGTCGGGCAGGGCAGCCCATCATGGACTGGACGACGTACTTGCGGAAGAAGCGCATGGAGTTGCAGCTCGAGGATCCCACTTCAGCGATCAGTGATCGCGCGTTGGCGAGCAAGATGCTCCGTGGTGCTCGGCCGTCGCAAAGAGAGCGAGCGCAGGTGCTCTTCAATTGCGGCGGCATCTACGACTCGAAGCGCATGGAGGTCGTGCTGAAGGCAGCCTACTCGAAGGTGCACGATACCGAGAAGCGCTCGGTGCTTCCTCGCCGCTCGCCGTTTGCGGCGGCGCAGCGTGAGCACGGGCGCTCCTCCGGGAGCTCGGGCGGTCGCTTCCCGCACCCCCCCTTGGCTCGCAGGCCATTCGTACCTCGAGGCCGCCCTGGCCAGCACGTGCACGAGGTGGAGAACGGTGAATACTACGATGAACACGACGGCGACCTGGAGGAGGCGCAGCACGACGAGGAGGAAGCAGAGGACCAGGACGACGGAGACCCCGGAGGGGGCGAGGGCATCCTCTTCGAGGACGGCGCCGAGGTCGACGAGGAGCTGGCGTCGGACAACGACGGGCCTGACGACGAGGAGTACGAGGCACCGGAGGATCTCCAGGAGGCGTTCTTGGCCGGTTGGAGGGCCAAGCAGAAGACGGCAGTGCAGCGTCAGAAGCGCGGGTTCGCTGCCCCTCGGCAGCGGGACCCCAAGAAGATCAACGCCAGCGGCTCTTTCCAGGCGGGTCGCAGGACGACTGACCAGCGCAATGCCAACAGCCGGCGTGCTGACTGCGATCAGTCCGGCCACTGGCGCGGCGACCCGGAGCGCCCCAAGGCGAAGAGAGGCGAGCGCGAGCCGCACAATAAGACTGGGCCCAAGAGTGGCCAGCCAGCGTCGCCCAACCAGCGGAGCTCTGCGAAGCCGCCGGTTCCAAGGCAGGTTCTTGGGCCGGTCATCCACTGGGTTGGCATGGCAGGCAGTGCCGAAGAGCGTCGTGGCCGCGCCCCATGGCGCCGCGCTCCCCAGTCGGTGCCTGCCCAGAGGCATTCGGTAGAGGTCCGAGCCGATGTTCCGGGGAGGACCGCCATGAACCCTCGACCCAAGAGTATGCCTGCACCACGTTTATACCAGAAGACCGACGATGACCCAGAACAGGGCAGTGATGAACGTGCGCGCGCCCTTGCAAGGCGCGGTGAGGATCAGGAGGACGAGGATGCATGCGTGCGTTGCCATCGCATCCTGGCCAACACGCACGCAAAGGGGCACAGCGTGGAGTTGGAGTTTCCTGACCTTGCGACGGCCCATCACATCGTGGAGCGTGTAACGAACAAGAAGCCCATCTTCTTCAAGCAAGGCCGCTTCGAGGCCATCGACTTCGTCCAGGGTCGGCTTATGCGGCTGCAGCTGACCACGTCGAAGCCTTGCACGGCGGCTGAGGTGGATCTCGATGAGATCACGGCGACTATGTTTAAGATCGTGATGGGCGGAAATCGCGACACCAAGCACCGCGACGATCGGCGCGGTGAAGGCGGGGGACGTGACACCAAGCATCGTGATGATCATCATCGAGATCGTCGTGACGACCGCCACCGCGATCGGGGAGCTGTTCTCCGTGAGCATCGCGCCCCTCCTCCGCCCGAGGCGGGGGCCCCATCGCGTTCGAGGTCGCGGAGCGCGCCGGAAGGCCGCGGTGAGAAGGAAGAGAAGAAAGAGAAGAAGAAGGTGAGG